TGAGCTTGCGGTGCAGGCCACAGGGTCCAGCGCGTGTGCCCGGGCGAGCTGGGGCGACCACTCAGGACGGCACGGGCGGCTCTGGGAGCAGGCAGCAAGGCCCGGCCAGAGTGCATGGCCCTCCGAGCAGCAGGTGGTGGGCACGGTGGGCCTGGGTGGGGTGGGAGGCTCTGAGAGCCAGCAGGGGTGCGGAGGGTGGGAGGAGAGTAGGCTGGGCGTGGGTGGGTGGGCAGAGGGCGGGAGGAGAGCCAACTCCGACAGAGGCTGAAGGCCAGTGAGGAACCTGGGCAGCATGCTCGTCTGCTCAGGGGACAGATCTGTTCTGCGGGCGATGGGGCCACTGGGCCTAGTGAAAGGAGGCCCCGGGGCCCTCCGTGTGGGAAAGTTCAGTCTGCCCGCAGGGTGTGGGCAGCTGGGAGGGCTGAAGAGCCAGAACAGCCAGCCGAGCAGCCTGGGGACAGGCAGGGCTGAGAGCAAAGTACCTGGCCTGACCGTGCAAGGGGAACAGGGTGGCAGCATCGCGGGGACAGGGCGCTTTTGCTTCGTGTCACGGGGGTGGGGGAGTGTTACCTGGGTGAGCGGGGGAGGCAGTGGGAAAAGCTCAGGGTGCCTGCAGGGTCCCAAGGCTGGCCATAAACAGCAACAGCAAACAGAGCCCTCTCCAAAGTCGTCCTGCGACCACGCACTGAGCTCTGTCACGTGCAGTCACAGCGTCTGGAGAAGCACACGAACCTCTGGGGCAAACCCCCCTCCCAAGCCGGATGGCATCCTGTCCTCCCCAACAGCACAAGAAGAGCCGAGGGGAATGCTGGGAGCCCGCATTGCTCTCCGTGCTGCACAGGATTGTCTGCAGATGGGACCCGGCGAGTCACGAGGCCCTCCGCACTTCCCGGTCACTGCTCTGACTGGACCTCGGGTCCGGGCACAGGCTGAGGTCCAGAGGCGGCCGCAGTCACAGCAAGGAGTGGAGGAGAGCCGACATCGCCGCCTCCTGGCCCCTTCCCTTTGCCTTTCTGAGAGCTGCCCTGGGGAGTCGGCCCTCAAACGTCGGTGCACGTGGCATCCTGGTCAGGGAGCTGAGTCGCTCGTGGGGTCCTGGCGTGGTGCCCTCACTGGGTCGAGCCTGCTCGCTCTGGTGGGCACGTAGGGTACCCAGGGGAGGTGCCGGGAGCCTGCAGGAACACACCCCCGCACCTCCCAGCCTCGCCCTGTGCTGTCCTCCGTGAGTGCTGACTGACCCAGGGCCACTGCGGTGCTCTGAACCATGCCCCGGCGCCCTTCCTACCCGAGATGTGGACGCAATTATCCCAACTCAGCATCCCGTGCCAGGAGACGCCGACCTTGGGAGACAGAGGCCAGTGCTGCCGGCCATGTCCGAGCTCGCGGGCTCTGGGTCTGGGCCCGTGGGGTCATTCTGTGTGTGTTTCCCGAGCACTTTCCTTCACGCCGGAAGCCAGGGGTCCGGTTGTCTTCTCCCAGTGCTTCATTAACCTGCCTGGTCTCTCAGAGTCAGCCCCGGTGGCCTCGAGTCACTGATGGACGCAGCTACCCAGCAAGCGGCGGGTACCCGGCCGAGACCTGGCTGCCAGCCCCACGTGGCCTTGGAGCTTCAGAGGCCCTTGGTGGGCTCCCTAGCGCAGGGCCCTTACCCTCCCCCCAGGCCCGATCTAGAAAGGAGCACAGGCCCAGCCCCGCTGGGGGACGAGTGTGGGGTCGAGCGTGGGCCGCAGACTCGCCCTGACTGGCTGTGCCTCTGTCTTGCAGGACGGGGGC